GAGTGACCACACTCCTGTTCTTGACCCTTCCCTTTCCAAAAGAGGGAAGTGCCAAGAAATCAGGCTTAGTATCTGGTTTTCCCTGGTCATTGTCCTCCCGGACCTCCCATCGAGGGGGCAGGCTGGGGCAGGCCGACCACGGATGGACGGCGCACCTGGAGCCCTCCCCGCGCCCTGGCTGCCGGCTCCCCTTGGGGGCTGGGCCCCGCCCGCCCCCACCCCGAGGCCTCGGTGCCGCTCCCTCCTTCTGGCGCCTGCCCACCCTGTCCTGTGTCTTGGAGGCCAGCGCAGCTCCCCTGGGTGGTCGGACGTCTGGGGAAGGGAGTGTGTGGTGGGCCCCCAGGGGTCAGCCTTTAGGGAGGGGACGGGAGGCCACACCCACCGGGGCTCTAGGGGTGACTCTGGAGAGCTCAGCCCCGGCGGCCCCGGGGGTCGGGCAGCGCTGATGTGCCCACGGGTCTCCAGCCCCCCTCCCGCTCACTCCCACCTAGGTTCCACTCACGCCAGAGCCCCGGTTGCTAAACTGGACCCCAGGGAGGCCCTGTCTGACCCGCTACTCGTCCCCCCCCCCGGGAGGGCGGGGGCTCAGGTCCGGCCACGCGACCCTGTGGTGGGCACGCTTTCCAGGGCAGGTGGGCGGGAGCAGTACCCAGACTGACTTGGCCTCAGTGGGCAGGAGGACAGGTGGAGCCCAGGGCAGAGGCCCATCCGGGCTGCGGGTGCGGCCGGCCTGGCTTAGCCGCCCCGGCACCAGGAAGTGGGCTGGCTTCTCGGCCGGGTGGAGGTGGCCTGTCAGGGCGGGCCCCACCCGCCGTTCCTAGCCACAGGTGGTGCCGCCACCAGCCCGGTGACAGGTGTTGAGGCCAGGAAGCCAGTCCTGCCGCTGCACCCGCCATGGTGTCCCGGGACCAGCCTCACCCGGGCCCCCGGTACGTGGGCCTGTGGGACTTCGAGGCCCGGACGGACAAAGAGCTGAGCTTCCGGGCCGGGGACCTGCTCCACGTGGCCAGGAAGGGGGAGGAGTGGTGCTGGGCTGTGCGGCTGGACGAGGCGGGCAGGGCCCTGGCTGAGGGCTACGTGCCCCACAGCTACCTGGCCGAGAAGGAGACGGTGGAGTCTGAACCGTGAGTGTCCCCATGGCCCTCGTGGGTCACCCCGAGGCCCCCCCCCCCCCCCCCCC